GTTGGTAGTTCCTTTATTTCAGCTAATTTTCAATATTTTAACAAAATATATTCGGTTTTTAATCGTTATTCGAATAAATTTAATCGGATAATTGAAATTTTTCCACAAAAAAAACTTCGAAAAGTTGTGATTTTTTTTAAATTTATTAATTTTTTTGTAATGAAAATTTCAAATTAATTATTCGAATACAATATTAATCGATTATTCGAATACAATTTTAATTGATTAATCAAATATTTTTACCTAAAATTATTGAATTTTAATTTCAATGTTTAACAATCATTTTTAATAATCGATCGATTATTCGGTTAATATCAAACGAATAATCGGATTTTTCACAAAGAAAGAAAAAAAAATTTCGAAAAATTGTTTTAAAAGTTAAATGATTTTTTTTAAGGAAACATTTTAAATTTATTATACGGATAATATTTTAATCGATTATTAGAATAATTTTGTTCTTCATTATTTTTCGATTATAATGAATAGTTAATTTGTTTAACAACTTAAGATTTTTTATATATTTTTTAAGAAATTTTATTCGATTATTCGGTTAATTTTAATCGAATAATTTCGTTTAAAAAGTAATGATTTTGTTTGAATTTTTTATTATTTAAAGACTTTTTAATCGATTATTCGCCTTATTTAAATCGAATAATCGGATTTTATAGAAGAAATTTAATTTTGTTGATAACCTTTAATCTTTTAACGATATTTGTGTAAATAATTATTAGAATAAAATTTAAATTATGGCAGATAATTAATTTCGTTTAAAAACTAATGATTTTGTTTGAGTTTTTTATTATTTAAAGACTTTTTAATCGATTATTCTCCTTATTTAAATCGAATAATCGGATGTTATAGAAGAAATTTAATTTTGTTGATAACCTTTAATCTTTTAACGAAATTTGTGTAATTAATTATTCGAATAAATTTTAAATCGATTATTCGAATAATTTTTTAATCGAATAATCTGATTTTTTAACAAAAATGATTGAGAAAACTTTATTTTAGAAGGAAAAATTTATAATTTTTCGAATAACATTATAATCGATTATTCGAATATTTTCTTGAGAATCGATTGTTTAATTTTTTCAAATATTGTTTTATTAAACAAAAATATCTTGCGAATATTTAAATTTAATTAATAGTCGAATATTATTTTAATCGATTATTCGATTAATTTATTTTTATAGTTATTATTCACATTAACTTTTATGTTTTATCATATCTTAAATTTTTAATCGATTAATATTAATTTCAACGATTATTCGTTTCATTTTTTTTTTCACTTATCTGTTTCCAAAAAATGTTTATTAACGTGATAAAATTTGTTCTAATTATTCGATTATATTTCTCTAATCGATTACTCGAGTCTTGTTTCTTTCTATTGCTACTTACATCAAATCTTCCATTGGCCGCTTTAATACATTCCTTTAAAGCTTTTAAAGGATAAGCAGTGACACCTATAAATCTAGCCTTGCCTTCCTTAACAATTTTCTCCAGTTCGGGTAAACATTCATTGATAACAATATCAAAATCTTTCGTAAATTCTATATCATGAATCTAGAAAACGAAATGAAATAAAACAAACAAATATTTATTAAACTCATCTCTCACCGCCCCACCTGTATTATGTCGACATAATCCAAACCCAAACGTTGCAAACTTTGCTCCACACTTTCGCGTGTTTTTTTGGCCGAGAAATCAATCATACCCTCATAGGTGGGATTGTAACGGCCCACTTTAGTGGCCACATAATAGGCGGAACGTGGTACATCTTTTAAAGCCATGCCCAAAACTTCTTCCGAACGCCCCAGACCATAATAGGGAGCAGTATCTATATAATTTATACCGGCTTTGAGTGCTTTATGTATAGTAGCAATAGCCTCTTTAACATCAAGGTCACTAGAATATTTATAACAATAAAGACAACAAAACAACAAAATAAGTAAATAAATTTATATTTTTGTAAATTTATATATAAATAACACGTTACCCATAAAAAGAACTTAAAGTTCCTGTACCCAAAGAAACTTTTGATACTTTTAGACCCGTACGTCCTAAAACGCGATATTCCATTTTTCTACACAATTCCTCATCGTGAAAACTCGGGGTAAATGTGGCAGGGAGATTAGAGGAAGACATCTTCTTTGTTAAACGTTCAAAAATAAACTGTTTATAATTTTAGCGGCATTTGTTTAAATTGCTCTTTGGAAAAAGGCAATAATAGATAATACAATTTTTGCATTCATTAATGATAACAAACCTCTTGAGTTAAACAAAGAGTACGAGTACTTGTTAGCGAGTAAATAGTACTTACGATTCTTAATAAGAGTATTTTGGTTTTTTTGTCTACTCTTTAATTAAATACTCTGAAATAAATACATATGTACATACATTCATATGTACTTGCAAATATGTATAAGTAAATAATTGAGGGGAGTAATACCTAAATGCACTACAAATAATTTGTACTTTTAACTCAAAATGTACTATAGAAAGTACCTAAATGGTACTTAAATAAACTAAACAAAATCTGGACCCAATATAAATAAAACCAAAAGAATTACTAATATTAGGTTAGGTTATTGTGATGCGTCCAGTTATAGGTAGGTCCGGTTGTGATACCATTTGTGATCTCACCAATTTGTCCCTAATCCTATTGGTCAATTCGTTGCTCTAATAAATGCGTGAATGTTGCCAAAATCGTTTTTTAACAGACAGTTATTGTCAGTTAGTATTCGATGACCAAACTTTTTCCGTTTTAGTTCATCAAAAGCGGGACAGTGTCAAAGAAAATGTTCTGTAGTTTCATCTTCTTCTTTATCGTTCCAACTTCTCTGGAAATCATTGTAAGTGAATCATTTACTCTTTTGGCGGTTTACCAAATGGCCGCTATACGTTTTCTAAGGTGGCGTCTGTTTAGGTTTAAATCATAACATATCATTTTCCTATCCTTTATGGGCCAAATCTTTTTGGTCTCTGTACAGGTGGGTTCCCTCTTCCATCTTTTATTTGCAATGTATGTATGTATGTATGTATGTATGTATGTATGTATGTATGTATGTATGTATGTATGTATGTATGTATGTATGTATGTATGTATGTATGTATGTATGTATGTATGTATGTATGTATGTATGTATGTATGTATGTATGTATGTATGTATGTATGTATGTATGTATGTATGTATGTATGTATGTATGTATGTATGTATGTATGTATGTATGTATGTATGTATGTATGTATGTATGTATGTATGTATGTATGTATGTATGTATGTATGTATGTATGTATGTATGTATGTATGTATGTCCTCATGAACCCATGTGCGGATAACCGATGTCTGTTTCGCTATTTCATCCGGAGAAACCGGGCATTCTTGAAGTAGTGTACACATTCTCAAGGGATCTAATGGCCGTTTTACTATCAGTAAGTATAAGAATATATCCGCCTAACATCCAGAGATACTGAATCCGTTCCGAGGCTACTTTCATAGTCATTACTGCGCCTTGAAGTATGCTGCCAGCCTTATTAAAAGTTGTCAGTTCAACTCATTCGAATAGATTCCACAGCTGATTCTTTCATTTGATTTTGATTCGTCTATGAAAATTTCGATGACATCTTCAATTACGTGAAGAGGTTCGAACTTCGAGGGACCAGTCAAATTTGTATGAAATTGAATGGCTAAAAAAGTAGTGCACTTTATCCGAGAATTCGTTATAACCGAGTTCGTTCTAAGTTAAGTTTTTTGTATTAAAATAGTTACTAAAATCTCGGGAATTGTAAAATAGTTCGTAATAACCAAGAATTCGTTATAACTGAGATCGTTATAAACGGTATTGACTGTAAGTGTGTTATATTAGGCTATTCTTAATCGTAAATAACAACCATTAAAGCGTGTGTCGTAAATTTAAAGTGAATTTCGGAAGACGGTTCGAACTACGAAATTATAAAGGTCTTTATGGGACGTTTATGATTCATCAGTATTTGACATGATTAACTATTTATCGGATTTATGCCTATTTTTATTGTCGATATTGCGTTTTTGTTTTGGAATAGATCCATTAAATGGGGACTTGAGCCAATTATGCATCGAGATTTTAAGAATTCAAAAAAATTTCGTAAAATTATTAATTTTTATTAATTTTATCTTAAGACCATACAAATTGAAAGATTTATTGACAATAAATTGATTTTCAGTAAGAGGGGTTATTACTATAGGGAGTAGGGTCAATTATGGACTTATCTTTGTGAAATTTGGTACAAAGACTTCATTGCTATTCTGAAATGTTTATGATAATTTTGAACATTAAAGCGTTCTTATATGGTCTCTAGGGTTAACAATGGTACGATGGGCTGTTTGGAGGATAGCTGGATTCGTGTATCGATATAGAGGATATTTAAAACCAAACAAGAAATATTTCTGGAAATTTTCAGTCCTCTAGCTTCCACCGTTCGAACGGTAACGTAGTCTCCTCAGACGAACGGACCTAGACATGTCTGTCTGTCCGTTTTTGAATCTAATAAGAATTTACGTTATGGACATAGAACAACTTTTCAGAATAAAATTCACATAATATTCAGAGATCGTAGAATTGTTTACGTCCTTAGAATTGTAGAAGAGTTTGGATTAAGAATACAAGATTACATCATAGAATGTTGTTTTCAATAGTTAAATTTTCTGAAGATCCCAGATGTCTTCGGAATCCAAATTTTCAATAATTCTTATTTATAGATCTGCAAAATCGATCTATAAATAATGGAGATATAAGCAAAAATCCAAGACAACCTCTGAAAATGAAAGAAAATCTGTAAGAAAGGATTTTTAGTACTTTTTCGTTCTTCAACTGGTACTTTTCAAATATTTTATAATATTGAACCTGAGGATCTTAGGCCAATACCAATTCTATAATTTTAACTATTAATCGTGGATCCAACATTCAGTATTCCCCTTAAAAACAAAAGATATTATTCAAGTTTTTTTTTTAATTTATTTATTAAATTTAAATAATCGTTTTTTTATTTATATGTATAAATAATAATTTATATAGTTAAATATATAGTTTATATATTAATTATAATATAGAAAATATTCGAAAATATCAGATCAAAAATTTTCATTTCGTTATTCGGTTTAAGCTTAATAAATACGTTATGTTTTCTTGTTAATGTATGTATGTTTCGTTAAAAAAAATGTGTAGCATGAGGGGGGTAGAAGAAGGTGGAAGAGGAAAGTATTGGAATTATAAAATAATTGAGCTTTCAATTTTCACTAAGGGTCCAAAAGCTGGTTCTCCAAACAACATCTAGAAAAAGAGATCACCAAAAATATCTTCGGGATTTTGGAAGGGATGTTGGTGGGGACGTTGAGCTTGATGGCCGGGATATTGGGGTATTTTATGGGCCTGTTGTTGTTGCTGTTGTTGACGAGAGAGAGGAACTATAACATCATTGATTTCATGGATAATGCCATTGGAGGCAATGGTATCGCATTTGGTAACTCCGGCATTTTGTATCTTGGGACGACGATCACGGGTAATGCGCAAATGATGACCATTTAAGGACTCAATGGAACGCACGAAAGGCCAGTTGGTGGGAATAATGCCAGCACAGCAAACAACATCATCAACTATATGGGTCTTGATAAGATTTTCCAATTCCGATTGATCTTTGCTAAGAGAGTCTTCGAGTTCTTCGAAAACATCATTTTTGGGAACCAACAAAGTGTAATCACCCTCAGCATTAGCCAATAAATCGGTGAGATTAGCCATGCGCACCAAATCCAAGAATTTACTATAGTTAGGATTGGCTTCCAACATTTCCAAAAGATTTTGTTTGGCTGGCTGCAAAGCTTTGTCAACTTGATGCAAAACGGAACCACAACTTTCATCATCGAAATGCACTAAACGGGCACAATTGACGGTGGCACGATTCATGACATTCGAGAAAAGAGCATGAGTAGAATAGAGATTAATGCGCACTTTATCACCACCCACAGTGGGCATAAGTTGTTCTTGCAAATCACAGGTCTTAATCATGGGCTGAGCAATGTGATAGTTAAGGAATTCAATCAATTCTTGATTATCTTTCAATTGTTCAGGAGATTCCTCCAATAATTTAGCCCATTGGGTGTTTTGCAAAGCCTTGTCGGTGGGAGCAAATACGGTAACATTATCCATATCATCGAATTTGTTATCCAAACCGGTGGCTTCCAAAAGTCGCTTGAAAATGGTGACATTTTTCTCTTGCATGAGTGAGGATAAAGGTAAAGCCGATTCAGTGGGCATAATGGTGTCGATAACATGGACAACACCATTGGAACCCATAATATCAGCCTCAGTGATCTTGGCAATGCCATTGATGAGAACAGGTTGTTGGGCTTTAGAGTCGGCTTCAGAAGTTTTGCTGCGATTGAAACGCATGGGTTCACCTAATAAATTGTAGGCTGTGGTTTTGGCGCCGGGAACAGAAGCCACCGAACAGAAGGTCAAATCCAAAATGTGGTTTTTAAGGATGTCTGGAAGGAAATGAACAGAAGTTAGTCATAAAAATGTTTACTGGGTAAAAATCAAAACTACTTACTAGAAGCACAACCCTTGCCCTCCTTCAAAGCTCTACGCAAATGAGGTTCCAATTTCTCAAAGGCATCATCGGTGGGTACAAAGATGGTCACTGGTTTCTCACCCTCCAAAAGTTCATTCAATTTAGTATTTTCCAAAACTGTACGCATAATCGACATATCGGCTCTTTGGCGGATAATATCCATAACATTCTTATCGGCAGGTTTCAAAACGCCCGCTAAAGTATGAATCAAACCCTGTTCGGAAAGTTTATCGTGTTTCTCAATGGGCACACAATTGGCGGTATAACGATATGGTTCAGGACTCAAAGAAATAGGCATTTGGTAACTGTTAATGCGTATAGTTTGGCCATCTACTTGTGTCTTCAAAATCTGTTCGTTGCGCACATCATCCAAGCTAATTTCCCCATCGACCACATGACGCAAGTACAATTGTTTCATGCCTTCATCCGATTTCATTTCAACCAAATTCTGTAGAAAAAATTGAAATGATTATTTTACGTGTTTTTCAAAATTGCCTTTATGCATCTCCAGCAAACTTACATTTTCACTTTGCACGGCATCACTGTAAGCTGTGAATGCTTCATCCAAAGGCAAAAAGATGGTTACATTTTTACGTGACTGTATAGAGTCGCCTAAGCCGCTGCTTTTTGCTTTGGCCAAAAACTCTTTGGCGCCTAAATCGCTAGCCGTTGCTTCGATATCTTTGATTTCAATTTTCTCGCAAGGTGTTGCATAAGCAGCATTACGTGGACGCCCATAGCCATGACAGCATTGACGTGAAATGGTCAAAGTTTTCTTTTTGCCATTTTTATTGATACTAGGAATAAACCACAAACAAACAAAACAAATTAGTTAAAAACATGTTGATATTAACTTTAATAACAATTATTGCCAATTAATTTTGTTTATAATTTCAACTTGTGTTGTGGCAATTTTTTTATTTATTATGACAGTGAAGTGAAATCTAAAACTGGGTTAATTGCATTTCGTTTTGAAAATATGTTTGCTTTGCTTGCAACTACTTACACTCGGGTACAAATATATTTATTGGGTTTTTCCACACATGAATTCAATTGGAATTGGAACTGTCCAAAACTGGGTTGTTTAACGGTTTCTGTGCCAACGGCAGTTTCAGTTTCTTCCTTTTCATCGCCTTCTTCTAAGGTTTTTTCGTCTTCTTCCTTTTCGGTACAGACATTGGGTCTAAAAGAGGGAAGAAAAGAAAAGTTAAGAAATTATATATGTAAGAAAGTTGTAATGAAATAAAGCACGAGATTCTGGAGGTATTTAAAATCAAGACTATACTGTAGACTAAACTACAGTCTAGACTGTAAAGGAGGATGTATGTTACAGCAGATCCGAAGAAATTCACAAAGGCCACTAACGGGATTAACGAAATTTTTGGTACTTTTTCTAAATTGTAAACTTTTGATAAGTAGTCCACATAGTAGTCAATAGAACAGCCTAAAGTCTAGTAGTCTTGTCTATAGTCTAGTATGTAGTCTAGTCTATAGTCTTATCTATAGTCTAGTCTGTAGTTTAGTCTGTAGTCTAGTCTGTAGTCTAGTCTGTAGTCTAGTCTGTAGTCTAGTCTGTAGTCTAGTCTGTAGTCTAGTCTGTAGTCTAGTCTGTAGTCTAGTCTGTAGTCTAGTCTGTAGTCTAGTCTGTAGTCTAGTCTATAGTCTAGTCTATAGTCTAGTCTATAGTCTAGTCTATAGTCTAGTCTATAGTCTAGTCTATAGTCTAGTTTATAGTCTAGTCTATAGTCTAGTCTATAGTCTAGTCTATAGTCTAGTCTATAGTCTAGTCTAGTATATAGTCTAGTCTATAGTCTAGTCTATAGTCTAGTCTATAGTCTAGGTCTATAGTCTAGTCTATAGTCTAGTCTCTAGTCTAGTATATAGTCTAGTATATAGTCTAGTCTATAGTCTAGTCTATAGTCCACTCTATAGTCTAATCTATAGTCCACTCTAATCTAGTCTATAGTCTAGTCTATAGTCTAGTCTATAGTCTAGTCTATAGTCTAGTCTATAGTCTAGGTCTATAGTCTAGTCTATAGTCTAGTCTATAGTCTAGTCTATAGTCTAATCTATAGTCTAGTCTATAGTCTAGTCTATAGTCCGTTATAGTCTAGTCTATAGTTAGTCTATAGTCTAGTTGTCTATAGTCTAGTCTAGTCTAGTCTATAGTCTAGTCTATAGTCTAGTCTATAGTCTAGTCTATAGTCTAGTCTATCGTCTAGTCTATAGTCTAGTCTATAGTAGTCTATAGTCTGTCTATAGTCTCTAGTCTATAGTCTAGTCTATAGGTTCTAGTCGATAGTTCTAGTCTATAGTCTAGTCTATAGTCTAGTCTATAGTCTAGTCTATAGTCTAGTCTATAGTCTAGTTAGTCTATAGTCTAGTCTATAGTCTAGTCTATAGTCTAGTCTATAGTCTAGTCTATAGTCTAGTCTATAGTCTAGTCTATAGTCTAGTCTATAGTCTAGTCTATAGTCTAGTCTATAGTCTAGTCTATAGTCTAGTCTATAGTCTAGTCTATAGTCTAGTCTATAGTCTAGTCTATAGTCTAGTCTATAGTCTAGTCTATAGTCTAGTCTATAGTCTAGTCTATAGTCTAGTCTATAGTCTAGTCTATAGTCTAGTCTAGTCTAGTCTATAGTCTAGTCTATAGTCTAGTCTATAGTCTAGTCTATAGTCTAGTCTATAGTCTAGTCTATAGTCTAGTCTATAGTCTAGTCTATAGTCTAGTCTATAGTCTAGTCTATAGTCTAGTCTATAGTCTAGTCTATAGTCTAGTCTATAGTCTAGTCTATAGTCTAGTCTATAGTCTAGTCTATAGTCTAGTCTATAGTCTAGTCTATAGTCTAGTCTATAGTCTAGTCTATAGTCTAGTCTATAGTCTAGTCTATAGTCTAGTCTATAGTCTAGTCTATAGTCTAGTCTATAGTCTAGTCTATAGTCTAGTCTATAGTCTAGTCTATAGTCTAGTCTATAGTCTAGTCTATAGTCTAGTCTATAGTCTAGTCTATAGTCTAGTCTATAGTCTAGTCTATAGTCTAGTCTATAGTCTAGTCTATAGTCTAGTCTATAGTCTAGTCTATAGTCTAGTCTATAGTCTAGTCTATAGTCTAGTCTATAGTCTAGTCTATAGTCTATTCTATAGTTTAGTCTATAGTCTAGTCTATAGTCTAGTCTAAGTAGTCTATAGTCTAGTCTATAGTCTAGTCTATAGTCTAGTCTACAGTCTAGTCTATAGTCTAGTCTATAGTCTACTCTATAGTCTAGTCTACAGTCTAGTCTATAGTCTAGTCTATAGTCTAGTCTATAGTTTAGTCTATAGTCTAGTCTATAGTCTAGTCTATAGTCTAGTCTATAGTCTAGTCTATAGTCTAGTCTATAGTCTAGTCTACAGTCTAGTCTATAGTCTAGTCTATAGTCTACTCTATAGTCTAGTCTACAGTCTAGTCTATAGTCTAGTCTATAGTCTAGTCTATAGTTTAGTCTATTGTCTAGTTTACAGTCTACTCTATAGTTAAGTACTGAGAAACTGTCTAAACACGATAGTCTAAACTTTAACTAAATTCTAAACTGTAGACTAAATCATAGTCAAAACTTTAGTCTAAACTCTAGTCTAAACTAGAGTCGAATTTACTATCTTAATAATAGTCTATAATTTATTTTAAACCATAGCCAGAACTTTCTAAACTAAACTAAATTTTTGACTAATGTATACTAAACTACACCTTAACTGTAGTCTAAATAAAAATTTTGTCTAAACTTTAGACTAAACTATAGTCTATGAAATGACAGCTGTCACTTTAGACTTAATTTCCCTGTGTTGGCGGCTCCTAAACAGAAAACATTTCATTGTCAAAATCGTATTTGAAAAAATTACTAGATTTTCCATAAATCAGTTTTATAAATTATACATTTTTCAAATTTCCTTTTCTAAACTTAAACAAAGATAAAATAAAGCACAAACTTGACAACAAGCCAACTAAATTAGAATACTGATTAATAACTTTGACAGTTGAGTTTATCAAATTTGCAAATCTCATCTAATTGTTAGAATTATAATTTCAAACAAATTTGCTTAAAAAAAAAAAAAAAAAACAACAACAATTACAATTGTAATGCTAACGATAGGCAGTTGTTAAACAATTCAATATTAAAAACTACAAATCTTTATATGTCTAGAAAAACCTTATTTATTATGAAATCATTAACCTTGAATTTAACAAAACAATTAAATTAAAAGATTCGAATAGATAGCAAAGTTAGTACTTAGAATAGTAGAACTAGTAGTTACATTATATTATAGACTGGTTTAGAATAATTAAATTTGTAGGAATGATAGAATATTATAATTCTAAACACAATTATTAGGGGCTGTTAAATAAGTTATAAAAACAAAAAAGGGGTGGTTATTTAAATAAGTTTTTAACATTATTTTTTATTAAATGGGAACCGAATTTTTGGTGAATAATAAAAAAAATATTACAATTATTACACCAAATTTCTTAAAAACTTCCTCTGAATATTTAATAAAAAATGACGTCAATTTTCAATTATCGTGAGAAACTATTAAATATTTAAATCAGTTTTAGATTTGTTTCAACTTAAAATTTAATTGAAATATAAATTAATCATAAAGCTTTATAAAAAAAAACCAACAGCGATAAACTTTAATTTTAAAACTGACCCTTTAAGAGTTTAGCACATGTTTTGGCAATTTCGATTGATAAACCTATGACCCGATCAAAAAAAGATCCCACATAAACTATGAAAAGTAAATAGAATTAAAATATGAAAAAAATTCAAAACTGATAATAGATTTTCAAAATTTCAAGCCCAAAATTCTGAATCATGTAGATTCTAGTTATTAACAATTTTCGTAAATTTACATACAACAAAACTTTAATAATTAACATTCGAATTGTTAACAAGAAATTTAAACAATCATTTTGAACTTTTTGTTTGTTAAACCAAGCGTATGAAATACTTAAAACCAACAAAATTAAATGTTTAATATTAAAAATTTTGTTAAAAAAAAAAAAACAAATATTTAAAAGTTAACAATTATTATTGCCTAACAAATAGCTAAGAATTGGATCAAAAACAAAATTTTAGAAAAAAACCAAAAACGTATTTAACTTACGTAATATTTATTAAAAAATATAAAACGCATTTGAACTGTTACCACAAAAAATATAATTCAATTTGATTGACATTTATCTTCTTAAGTCTGAAATAAATTATTTTGTTTATGAGAAAATTGCATAAAGAAATTTAACAATTAAGCGAAATATTTGTTAAATTTGTTTCTTTTTGGCATAAATTTTGTTATATTTCTTTGTGAATCATTAAGTTTGTTTTTTTTTTTCAATTATTGAATTACTTATTAAAAATCAAAACAATAATTTTTATTAAAAAATCCCACAGGAAATTGAGTCAGACATTACTTTTACTCAGATTACAACTTAAAGTCAGGTTTTAATCTAAGGTGAACTATAGTTTAAATAATTCACTAAATTGCAATCCGAAATGTAGTCAAAACTGTAGTATAAACTATAGTCTAAACTGTAGACTAAACTGTAGCCTAAACTGTCAACTAAACTGTAGACTTAACTACAGTCTAAACAGCCGACTAAACTATAATCAAATAAGTTATCTATAGTCTAATATATAACCCAAACTGTAGCTTAAACAATAGTTTAAACTGTACTCTAAACTATAATTTCTCTGTTATTTTGGTCTAAATTATAACCCAAACTGTAGTTTAAACAATAGTTTGCACTGTAGTCTATAGTCTAGTCTATAGTCTAGTCTATAGTCTAGTCTATAGTCTAGTCTATAGTCTAGTCTATAGTCTAGTCTATAGTCTAGTCTATAGTCTAGTCTATAGTCTAGTCTATAGTCTAGTCTATAGTCTAGTCTATAGTCTAGTCTATAGTCTAGTCTATAGTCTAGTCTATAGTCTAGTCTATAGTCTAGTCTATAGTCTAGTCTATAGTCTAGTCTATAGTCTAGTCTATAGTCTAGTCTATAGTCTAGTCTATAGTCTAGTCTATAGTCTAGTCTATAGTCTAGTCTATAGTCTAGTCTATAGTCTAGTCTATAGTCTAGTCTATAGTCTAGTCTATAGTCTAGTCTAGTCTAGTCTATAGTCTAGTCTATAGTATAGTCTATAGTCTAGTCTATAGTCTAGTCTATAGTCTAGTCTATAGTCTAGTCTATAGTCTAGTCTATAGTCTAGTCTATAGTCTAGTCTATAGTCTAGTCTATAGTCTAGTCTATAGTCTAGTCTATAGTCTAGTCTATAGTCTAGTCTATAGTCTAGTCTATAGTCTAGTCTATAGTCTAGTCTATAGTAGTCTATAGTCTAGTCTATAGTCTAGTCTATAGTCGAGTCTATAGTCTAGTCTATAGTCTAGTCTATAGTCGATTCTATAGTCTAGTCTATAGTCTATAGTCTAGTCTATAGTCTAGTCTATAGTCTAGTCTATAGTCTAGTCTATAGTCTAGTCTATAGTCTAGTCTATAGTCTAGTCTATAGTCTAGTATAGTCTAGTCTATAGTCTAGTCTATAGTCTAGTCTATAGTCTAGTCTATAGTCTAGTCTATAGTCTAGTCTATAGTCTAGTCTATAGTCTAGTCTATAGTCTAGTCTATAGTCTAGTCTATAGTCTAGTCTATAGTCGAGTCTATAGTCTAGTCTATAGTCTAGTCTATAGTCGAGTCTATAGTCTAGTCTATAGTCTAGTCTATAGTCTAGTCTATAGTCTTCTATAGTCTAGTCTAGTCTATAGTCTAGTCTATAGTCTAGTCTATAGTCTAGTCTATAGTCTAGTCTATAGTCTAGTCTAGTCTAGTCTATAATCTAGTATTCTAGTCTATAGTCTAGTCCATAGTCTAGTCTATAGTCTAGTCCATAGTCTAGTCCATAGTCTAGTCTATAGTCTAGTCTATAGTCTAGTCTAGTCTATAGTTTAGTCTATAGTCTAGTCTATAGTCTAGTCTATAGTCTAGTCTATAGTCTAGTCTATAGTCTAGTCTATAGTCTAGTCTAGTCTAGTCTAGTCTAGTCTATAGTCTAGTCTATAGTCTAGTCTATAGTCTAGTCTATAGTCTAGTCTATAGTCTATAGTCTAGTCTATAGTCTATAGTCTAGTCTATAGTCTAGTCTATAGTCTAGTCTATAGTCTAGTCTATAGTCTAGTCTATAGTCTAGTCTATAGTCTAGTCTATAGTCTAGTCTATAGTCTAGTCTATAGTCTAGTCTATAGTCTAGTCTATAGTCTAGTCTATAGTCTAGTCTATAGTCTAGTCTATAGTCTAGTCTAGTCTATAGTCTAGTCTATAGTCTAGTCTATAGTCTAGTCTATAGTCTAGTCTATAGTCTAGTCTATAGTCTAGTCTATAGTCTAGTCTATAGTCTAGTCTATAGTCTAGTCTATAGTCTAGTCTATAGTCTAGTCTATAGTCTAGTCTATAGTCTAGTCTATAGTCTAGTCTATAGTCTAGTCTATAGTCTAGTCTATAGTCTAGTCTATAGTCTAGTCTATAGTCTAGTCTATAGTCTAGTCTATAGTCTAGTCTATAGTCTAGTCTATAGTCTAGTCTATAGTCTAGTCTATAGTCTAGTCTATAGTCTAGTCTATAGTCTAGTCTATAGTCTAGTCTATAGTCTAGTCTATAGTCTAGTCTATAGTCTAGTCTATAGTCTAGTCTATAGTCTAGTCTATAGTCTAGTCTAGTCTAGTCTATAGTCTAGTCTATAGTCTAGTCTATAGTCTATAGTCTAGTCTATAATCAAGTGTATAGTTTACTCTATAGTCTTGTCTCCTTTATTATATTTCACCCTGTATGCAATAAACATCTTCATCATATATATGACGCTTTTATCAGTAATTGAATATACTTCTAAGTAGTAGTCTAGTTAAAAAGAAAATCTATTATACTCGTTGTTTATATAATTCCCCACTTACATCAGACAGAATAATCTCAAAAAAAATTTTCCTAACAGATGTTTTTTCTAGAAAACTACAAAGCAAACAATTAGACTTTTTTGTTTAAATTGTAATTTTAAACTCACATGCTTCGGGAACAAACACAAAAATGTTTGCTTCTCTGCCCCACATAACAACAACAACAATATTTAGAAAATTTTTGTAAAAAAATATAAATTTCATATTCAAAAGATTAGAAATGTAGATAGATTTCAGAACTGAGAAAAAATTTGCGGTCAGTGGCTTTAGTGGGGGCATGATAATTGTTTAAACAAATAAACTAGAAAAAAATATTCGCATTTCATAAAAAAATACAAACAAAATAAACACAATGTATGAACAAAGTTGTATCTGTACTACATTGGTACGAACAACAACAACTCTTTATCATATTTAATTTAATTGAATTGAAGGAAACTATTCAATTTGATGATTTACATCCATATGATGATTATAGTTGGATGTTGATGATGATGATGATGATGGTCTATAGAAAAGCCAGATTATTACCGATGTGAATACAACATTCACTGTTGGACAATTAGTTTTTAAACACAATATTTGAGTCGAGACTTTCACAGTGAAAATGTGTGAATTAATGAAAGTTTTGCTAACTACACGCAGTATGCTGCTGTTTAAATTTAGTTTAATTCATGATTTTATTTAGAAATTTATTTTATTTTTTTTATTATAATTTCACGCTTTTTATATTATAAATTGACAGTTTTTTTGATTTTTATCTGTGAACACTTTGACTGACTTTGAAAAACTTGAAAAAAAATTGTTTTAATTTTGTTAGACTAGACTATAGACTAGACTATAGACTAGACTATAGACTAGACTATAGACTAGACTATAGACTAGACTATAGACTAGACTATAGACTAGACTATAGACTAGACTATAGACTAGACTATAGACTAGACTATAGACTAGACTATAGACTAGACTATAGACTAGACTATAGACTAGACTATAGACTAGACTATAGACTAGACTATAGACTAGACTATAGACTAGACTATAGACTAGACTATAGACTAGACTATAGACTAGACTATAGACTAGACTATAGACTAGACTATAGACTAGACTATAGACTAGACTATAGACTAGACTAGACTATAGACTAGACTATAGACTAGACTATAGACTAGACTATAGACTAGACTATAGACTAGACTATAGACTAGACTATAGACTAGACTATAGACTAAACTATTTACTAGACTATAGACTAGACTATAGACTAGACTATAGACTAGACTACAGACTAGACTATAGACTAGACTAAAGACTAAACTATAGACTTGACTTTAGTCTATAGACTTTTGACTAGACTGTAGACTAGACTATAGACTAGATTATACACTAGACTATTGACTAGACTATAGATTATACTATAGTCTTGACTATACGAAAAACAAATAAAAAGAACAAAATTCGACTTACCCCTTCCACCAAGGTTCCTGTTGGGTGCCAATGCCGAAACCGCCAAAAGTATTAAACAAATTATTGCCAAAGAAGGGGAAAGCTTGTTGGAAAAACAAGCCCGGTTGATGTTGGGCACCCTCACCATTTACCTCACTAGTCACGACATCAACTTCTGCAAAGTGAAAGACGAAATTCAAAACTCCATTCCATTTCCAAAATTCCGGGACAAATAGATCGAAAACTTACCAAATGGTTTCTCCTCATTATTACGACTCTGTTGATTTTGTTGCTGCTGTTGTTGAGCTTCCAAGGGCACAAATTCAGCTTCAGGTTCAAAACTATCAAATGGCGTATTAAAAGTTAAAGGATTAATTAAATTGGGCCAAATGTAATTTTGTTGTTGTTGCTGTTCTTGTAGTTGTGAAGCCTGAGCCTGACGTGGTGCTAAATGTCGTTGTTGTTGTGGTGAAGTGTAAAATGTTATTTGTGGTGATATGAAAGGTTCGAATAGGTGACGCTGAGGCGTGGTTAGATGAGACATAAAACTACTACAAAAAAACAAAATGGAAGAGAACAAATTTTGCCGGGCATGCAAAGCAAAATAAGCCAATAATAATGAGTATTTGAAAATTAATTTTGAAAAAAAATTAAAAGCCAAAATTTAAAAAAAAAACCGTTTTATTGCTAAAGAAAACTTTAGAGATTATTGAACTTAATGAAGACAGTGGGACAAAGAATTTAAAATACAATTTAGGTGTTAATCATCAAAAAGAAATATTTAAACAAATTTTTACTTTATTTAAACTCAATTTATTTACTTTTAAATTTCGTTTGAATAATTTTGTTACTTACTGTATAAATTTCTTTTAAGCTCTTTGAACTTCTAAAGTTTTCTTTTAAAAAATTTCAATTTAAATTTAGAATTTTGATAAAAAATGAGGTGCTAAATATGTTAATGACTTCTATTATTATATTTTAAATGGATTTGCAACAACAAAAAATAAACTAAAACAAACTAAACTTATAAATAATATTAATAATATTTATAATGACAATATACATCTATATAGATAACATCATGAGTTTGAAATATTACTAAGCCAAAGAAATATTTTAAATAATTGAACTCAGTTAATACCACATTTGAATACTAATGTTTTAAAACATTAACTCAAGAGATAATAAAAAGTTAATAAAATATATTATACACCAATACAATAAAAAAAGCAGTGAATAACAAATAAAAAATTTTCAAAATTTATTCCAGAAATTTTAAACTAACAGCTGCTCTTCTCGCCTCGAACAACAAATAAACAATTATTGTTGGAAAAAATATATAATTAAAAATTAACCATAAATTAATACAGTTTTTGGTTAAACCTCTTTTTTATAAAAAGGTGTTGGAAGTCAGACATGCAAATTAGTTTTTTTTTTGTACAAACTTGTTTATTTAAAAACAAATTTCAATTGTTTAAAATTACTGAAGTGCAAGATTTTTTAAAACAAGTAATAAATTTCATTAAATTTAAATTATTTTTGGGGAAAAAACTTTATTTGTTGTATAAAATTATTTTATACTAAATTTAATTGTTTTTTTAAAAAGTTATTTTTTTGGCAAATTTTAAAAATAATAGTAATTAAAGTATCCAGATAGGGGATAATTAAAGTTAAAAAACAGGAAATAAAGAACATTTTAATAAAACATTAAAAAACAAGATGAGTATTAAAAGTAATTCAAATTTTATTAAAACGTTTAATCACATTAACTTAAACACATTGCAACAACCAGTGATGCCAAGTATCACAAAGTCAGTAGAAATCTCTAAAAACATTAGAAATCCCGTTTTCGTACCCTTCAAACTAAAAACACATCTTTTGAAGCCAAGAACGAATCTATAAGGGGAAATAGCTCTATCTATCTATCTATCTATCTATCTATCTATCTATCTATCTATCTATCTATCTATCTATCTATCTATCTATCTATCTATCTATCTATCTATTTATCTATCTATCTATCTATCTATCTATCTATCTATCTATCTATCTATCTATCTATCTATCTATCTATCTATCTATCTATCTATCTATTTATCTATCTATCTATCTATCTAACTATCTATCTATCTATCTATCTATCTATCTATCTATCTATCTATCTATCTATCTATCTATCTATCTATCTATCTATCTATCTATCTATCTATCTATCTATCTATCTATCTATCTATCTATCTATCTATCTATCTATCTATCTATCTATCTATCTACTATCTATCTATCTATCTATCTATCTATCTATCTATCTATCTATCTATCTATCTATCTATCTATCTATCTATCTATCTATCTATCTATCTATCTATCTATCTATCTATCTATCTATCTATCTATCTATCTATCTATCTATCTATCTATCTATCTATCTATCTATCTATCTATCTATCTATCTATCTATCTATCTATCTATCTATCTATCTATCTATCTATCTATCTATCTATCTATCTATCTATCTATCTATCTATCTATCTATCAATCTATCTCTGTACGTCTCACTCGTGTTGCCAGATTAGTTTGTTCATGTTTACGATATAATATCAGTGAGGACAACTAAATTTTAGGAAAACAAAAGCTAAAATGTTGAAACGAAAACGCTACTCTGTTAAATGGGAATGAATAATATTAAATATTTATCTATAAATTTAGTTAGTAATCAAATCAAATATTTCAAATCTAGCTTAAGTTGCTTCAAATACTAATATATTAGCGAACAATTCAAACCAAATTTCTATTATTAAACTTTGACTAAGAAATTGTTTAAAAAAATATAAATTTCCTAAAATTTATTAAAAATTTAAATAGAACAATGATAAAATTATACCATAATCGAATTTTAAAACAATAAATTGAAATATTTACCATGGGCAGAATACTAATCTGATGGCTTATGATAATTTAATAAAATATTTTTTTGACATTTAACATTAAAAGACTTCCCTTAAGCTGAGACAAGGTTTTTCAAAGCCTTTTTTCTTTCTTACAAACTTTATTTAAACCAAGTTTAAATTATTAAACTGTGATTCAAATTTTAGCCGCTTTAAGAAATTTATAAAGAATCAATAAGTATGAAAAAAAATTTGCAAATTCGCATTTAAAACTCGGTTAGAATATTGATTTGTTATCTAATATTAAAAAACTATAAAGATTTATTTGAAAAATACACAGCACGTTTAACTAATCTTTAAAAAAATAAAAATGACATTACATTTTTTTAAGCAATGAATGAATAAAATAAATGTTTTATGTTTAAAATTTGCAAAAAAATATACTTTTAAATAAAAAAAATAAACAAAAAACGAACAATATATTAGTAAAACATAAACCCTGGGAATTTTTTAAAAAACCATTTCAGTCTAAAACATTTGCATACTTATTTAAATATGAAAAAAAACTTAATTAGTTCAAAGTGTTTTTTCTCGAAAAAAGAAGAGAAAACTTTCCTTTTTTGTAAGTTAATGTCAGCAGCTTTATTTTTTTACATTTCTACGTCTTAACACTAATTATGGGTAGGTAGTCGGTCGGTATAACCAAGAGGTGTCACACTTTTTTTTCGTGTAAAAGTCATTAATATGTAGAAGCTTAACTGCTAACGTGTAACAATAATAACAAAAAAACATAAACAAAAGACCTGAAATGACTCATGTTGCATATCATGATAATAACGTTAAATTTTTTTTCAAACTTATAAAAATCTTTAACATTATTTATGGTTTTTGTTTTTTTTTTTTTTTTTCTTCTTCTCAATTTTTATGATTTTTATCTTTAGAAAAAAAGCCATAAAATTTGATTTTTCAAAAAAAAGTATATGGTATTTAATTTTATATTGTTTTTATTAACAAGTAATAATTATAAAAAATTATTTAATTATTTAAAGAATTTGTTTTTCACTGTTTATAAGGCGGAAACA